TTTCGGCACGATGTGCGGCAGAGGGCGCTCGAGGCGCGCTGAGTCAGCAAGGCGCTAGAACGGCCGCCTCAAGGCACGCATGCGCCCGCAGACCCAAGCGCTCGCCGTCCCCGCATCGCCCGGAAACAGTGCTTCAGACAAGAAATAGTAATACGTACCGCCTGATAACCGCCCATCTTCTCCACCTCCTTACGAAGGCGGAAGAAGCCACCAATTCAGCCACTTGTTGTTGATCGTGGGCACCGAGACGCGCGTGTTCCCGACTTGCTAGTGGAAGCGATAGAGCTGCTCCAGGGAATTGAGTTTCGCGCGAGAGCTTGCCTCGATGAAGTAGAGCCGCTGAAGCCGAGTGGTACATCGGAGTCGCTGCGCCATCGTTTCAGTGAATAAACCCAAATATATACGTATACGCTCAAGCGCACCTCCGTGTCAGTCACGAACGGCATCTCCCAGTTCTAGGGCGGCACGATCTTGGCGATATCGTACTCTCGCGGTTCAGGGCCGATTTGGCGCATATACGCCATGGGGTCCGCGAACTCCTTCGCAGTGTGGAACTATGGTGCCGCTCGATTTGAGGCGAGGAGAGCAAGCCTTTACAGACTGCATGTTGAGACCAGGCTCAGTGGGGATCGGCTCTGTGTCCTTCCGAAAATCGTGGAGACTGTCTGAGGGGTCCCCCGCCCGCCTAGCATCGTCGTCTTCGCGCTGATTGTGGTTGACGAGAGCAGCCATCGCATCCTTCTTAGATTTCTCCGGAGCACGACGAGCATTAGAGTCATCCTGAGAGGCACCAGCAGCAGACACAGAAGCAGACTTTGAGATAACAGCAGGAGCGGAGGAGGAAGCGGCGTTAGAAGGTTCAGATCCAGATGGCGCAGAGACATTTGATGGTGTACTTCTCGACGGCAGCCTTGCGGATGACTTCGGATATATCTTGTTCTGCTTGGGCGTCTCGCGGAAGATGTCAAGCGACAAGTCCTCGTGGTCGGCGACGCCCTTGACGGAGTTGAGGTACCCGGAGATGACCTTTTTGCAGCCGTCCGTGATGAAGACGGCGCGGACGTATAGCTTGATGTTGTTGCGCTTCTCCTGCTCGAAGAGGCCGAAGGGCGCGCTGCCATCTCCATCTCCGTCTCCAACCCATCTTCTTGTCCTCGCCTCGTCGACCTCGTCACTCTTCGTGTCCTCCTCCTCCTCCTCCCTCTCCTCCTCGGCCTCAATCTCCTGCGCAAGAAGTTAGCGGTCAGGTTCGGAAGCGCGTGTGGATCAATAAGAGCGTACCTTCTCGACCTCCTTTGTGACGACGAGCTGGATGGGTTGGAAGATGCGCTCGGGGTGGTTTCTGACGACGTTCTTGATGCGCTTCGTCAAAGGCGGTGCGGCAACGGCCGCTCCGAGTGTTCTTCCAAAGAGCAACATGGTAGCAGGGGCTGATCGAGGCGCAGCCAGTTCCACCGCCGAGTGTTTGTAGGAGACTGCTCGAGCCCCTTGAACGGCTCGAGAGACTGGATGTCGTATGCGGACGGGCGAGCGCGCCACTCTTCATCCCAGACGCCTACAGCCGTGGTCAGCGCTATGTTGCAAGGCGCTGACAATGGAACCGCTAACCGCAGAACAGGACTTCGATCTGGCTCGACTTTCTCGTTCCAAGAACCGGCTCATCCTTCTCGTAGAGCGCTGTAGAGCGATTCAGCGTGAGTACAACGGTCAACCTCAATGAGACCACTTGAGCCTACCCTTGTACTTAGCGCGCGAGAGGCTTCGTCATCACGAGGAGCTTCAAGTTCTTGCCACGCCTGCCGGACAGGCGCTCCAGCTACTGCGCAACTCCGTCAGTGCAACGTTCATGCCCGTGCAGTTGGTCTTACTGATTCCACCGGCATTCGTTCTGGCACTTGACTAGGCCCAGAGCGTAGTTGTCCCGAGTCTCCTTGACCTCCTTCACAAAGCCATCTGTGCGAAGAACATGAGCGGACGGAAAGTGCGATCGGTACGCCCACTTACCCCTCCCTGAGCCTGCACGGCGACCTTTAGGGTGAGCCACCTCGGTCCCCTTGAAGTCCGTGTCGTAGGCGTTTCCCAGCGCCGACCTAATGCGTATGTCGTCAGAACACAGCGTCAAGTGCCATGCAAAAGGCATACGTACGGTACCAGCGGAGAACTGGAATGCGAAGCCGTCTCGATGTTCTTTAAGAGTCACGTTCGGCGCCTGTCCTCGAGGGTGCCGCTCTTGAGGTCCGCAACGAACGATTTGAACTTGGGCAATCCATGAAGCCGTCTCAGCATGTGAGTCTAGACATATCGTAGTCGACCGTCAATTCAGCGGTCATTGAGCCACTAGGATCGATTCGAGGAGGTTCGAGTCGAGCGCTGACCGAGACCGGAGACGTGAGCGCTCAAGCTGACGACCGACGCTGTCCTTTGAGAGCCTGCGGCGCCCGAGGGCAGACGAGATGCTTGCGGGTTGAACCCATGAGCCTCAAGCTGGTTCTCGGGCTCTTCGCCGCAGGCGTTTCTTCCCATTGCGATCGAGATCCCGCCGTAGAGTAGCGTAGAGTGCATTTGAATTAGCCTTGAGACTAGAAGAGGAGACGATTGTAACCGGTCCCGTCCAACAGCGCAGTTGACGACTCTCAGCGCGGGTCATCGTGGTGCAGAGCCAAGACTCGGGCGAGAACAGATACAAATGGTGATCCGGTGGTGGTGTCCGTCCACGTGAAGTTGAACTCGGGTTGAACTGAACCACATCCTGTTCCGTCTTGCTGTGGTGTGGCCTCGCAACTTCGTGTCCCTGATCCATTGCTCACAAAGTCTCTGCGGACGCCTTCTTCATGGCTCCGGTCACACGCGCGGCCCTTTCTCCTACCACTCCCCAGAAGGCTTTCAGCAATGTACCCTCTACTACCCCCACAGGTAGAAAGCTACCCCATTGCAGCGTTTGTAAAAAACCTCGCAAGGGTCACACTCTCCGTCGTTGCGCAGATCCGCTCCCTGCGGATGATGCGCAGATCACTTGCACCACCGATCTTCTTGCGAGTGCCCTCGGTTCGCTGCACCTTAGTTCAGAGGCGGGAGGTGTTTCCGCCACACCCGTGTCCTCCGCAGCTGCGCCCCTCGACGGCCCTGCGCCCCTCGACGGCCCTGCGCCCCTCGACGACCCTGCGCCCCTCGAGAACCCCTCTGCGCAAGCGAAGTTACGCAGGAGTCGACGATGCATCATGCCTGGAACTCTGCTAGAGTCCACAAGCAATTTCATTTTGACGGAACTGCCCAGCCCCGTGTCTTCCTCAACCCAATCCATGGAGATCTGCGGCATTGATCAGTCCGAGGAGTCTTCTAAGCCTCTCCCAAAGTCGTCAGCTTTCATTCCACAGCCTACGACTCACGCATCACACCCTGCCTTGCGCTCCGTGAGCATGGGCGCCCGAGAAGGCTTCCTCGAAGACCTCGACGATATTTCTACCCATTCACCGGTATCCATCTATGTCGTTTCTGCAGCAAACGTGGAGCAGCTGCGACCGTCCGCGACGGAGGTCGGGTTTCATACTGCCGCTGTCGTGCCAGGCGGCGGGATGCAGAAGGATGAAGCTCTGCTGGTCATTGGTGTGGAGGGTGCCGCGGTCGAAAATGTCCGTGCAAGACTGGTGAAGGGAACGGCCACTGCGGCCAAACGCAGTGATGGCTATGGGCTAGCACGGGCCGCGGGGGGCGCATTAGTTGGTGCGGCAGCTGTATTGGCAGGGTTGGCTCTGTGAATATTCTACTGATTGTAGGGGCAATTTCTGTAGTGCATGATGTGTACAAGTAAGCCGCAGTTGACTCGAGTAAAACCTCTATGTCTCGACTGACGAGGACATCCCATCCACGCGTCTATCACATGGTTGAAGACGATTCTATCGTCTGTCGTCAGTCTGTGTACTAGTATGGTGAGCGCGCCCATCTTGAGCCGCGCATTGTCCTCTCGTATGCGTCGTTGACGCTAAGGAGATAGTCTGATGCCTTCACGACGTTGCCCATGGTTGTAATGCCGAATAATATCATTAACGATATGTTGTCAGTGCTTGACGAAGAGCATGCGCATTCATCCATGCATAGCACATAGTCATTACACCGCAAGTCGGCCGTAAGCTGGCCGTAAGCTGAGCGGTGCATCGGGACCGGGAAGAGCCGTCACCTGCGTGATGCCTGCGAACAGCTGGTTCCCAGGAAACGGGGGACGTATCAGCACACTGGCACCAGTGCACCCTGACTGCCAGCTGGAGAACAGAGCTGGCTACGACGTGTCAGTGCGGGTGCTTGTCAAAGGGCGGGATATGCGGAAGCTCCACAGAAAGCCAGGATCGCTCAGTATTTTAT